GGTCCAAGTCCGCGAAGGCACGGCTGTTGATAGGATTTTTCCCTGTGGGGAGCGCCTCCGTCGCTGCGGACCATGCATCTGAATGCCCAGCAGGGCCTGCTCGGTCATCCCTGGGACCCCTTGGCTCCCCCCTTGGGGCGGACAGACCGCCACGGGACAGGACGGGCCTGCGCCTGGCTCGGCGGAGGCGGAGTTGCCCTTCCTGCGCTCGGACCACACGCTGGTGCGCTTCCTGATCGCCAGGCAGTGGGACGTGGACAAGGCGGCGGCCACTGGAGAACCAGGATACCACGTGAGCACACACTTCGGACGTCCGCGGGCGGCCCCCTGGTGCCGGCGCTTCGCGCGCCTGGGAGAGCTGGGGGGGGAGGGGGTCCGGTGCCAGCAGAGGAATCGCCCGCGGCCGCCAGAGTTTGGGCGTCTTCATGCGTGGTCTCTTGATTCTCTACCCGTGCTGCGTTCCCACTTCGCCTGGCTGGCAGATGTGAACATGGCCGCCCTCCTGGAGGACCCCTTCCCGGAGGAGGAGCACATCCGGGCCTACTACCCCCAGACATACCACGGCACCGACAAGGAGGGGCGCCCCATCTACATCGAGCGGCCTGGCTGCATAGACATGCCGCGTCTGCTGCGGGTAACGACGCCGGAGCGGATTCTTCACCATGGTCGATCTGTGGCCCCGAGGGCCACGGGGGGCCCAGGGACGACCAGGCAGGCCCTCTGAGGAAAAAGGGGAGCTGCGTACGTAGGAGGAGGAGGAGGAGGAGGAGGAGGAGGAGGAGGAGGAGGAGGAGGAGGAGGAGGAGGAGGAGGAGGAGGAGGAGGAGGACCACTGGCTCTGAGCAAGCCTCGGGGGGCGCCGGCTGACCACCTCGCCGACCCTGGCCCAGTGCTGGCGCAGTCGCCCGCCTGGCCGGACCAGGGAGGCGCATCCGCCCAGGATCGGCCCGCCCAGGGCAAGGGAGGTGGTCCGCCGACGCCCCTGGGCTTACGTCGGGCCTGTCCCTCTACAGGGGGAATATTCAAAAATAGGTATAAAAATAGCCTGGGGACGATTTTCTGAGCATTTTTTGACCATTTTGGTGCATTTTTGGGCATTTTTATTTTTTCGTCCAAAATCCCCCTGTAGGGGGACAGGCACGACTTAAGCCCAGGGCTGGGGTGGTGGTCCGCCGACGCCCCTGGGCAGTGTTTCCGGGCTCGCCGCCAGTGGGAGGGAGGGCGGGAAGGTGAACGGGGTCCGATTTGACTTTCGAGCCGTCTGTTTCGACCCCCGCTGCTGCTCCAACTCGTGTGCTCCCAGGCGCACTTTCGGCCCTGCCCTCGCGCGCCCCGTTGTCCTAAGTGCTCCTCGCGCGTTCGCCTCGACAGGTCCCCCAGGTGTGCCCTCGCCTTTGGCCTGCCTGCCGCTGGGCCCCCCGCACCCCTCGGGGCGGCACGGCGACCGCGGCTCCTGCAGTACATGTACGCGGGCAGCGAGGGGCAGGTGAGGCGGCGGCTGCCCGCCGCTTCGCTTGCCCGCGGCGAGGTGGCGGCGATCTTTGCCTCCCCTTAGGCTTAAGTCGGGCCTGTCCCTCTACAGGAGGAATATTCAAACATAGTAATTCACTTTTAATGGTTAAAAGCAATAAAACATATGTACACCATTTTTAATTAAGAGAGAGTTTTTGTGCGTGTGTTTTTTGTTTTTGTATTATCCATTTTTCGTCCAAGATCCGTCTGTAGGGGGACATGCCCGATCTAACCTTTGGGCCTTCCGGCTCTTGTCTAGGCCTCCCAGACGGGGTCGGAGTAGATGGGATCGAAGGATCGCGCTGCATTGCCGATGCATCGCCGATGCGACTCGCTGTGAAGCCCGATTTACTTCAAGTCGACGTCGCCGATGCGTCGTCGACGTCGCCGATGCACAGCAAGTGCATCGCCGATTCATCGCCGATGCATCGCCGACACGGCGCGATGCTTCGACCCATCGGATCCCATCTAGGAGGCCCCTACCTTGGCCCGTGGGGAAAATCCTGGAGGCCTCGCGCGGCGCGTGATTGTCTTATGATCTAGATAGCACGTCCGCTCCGAAAGATACGGGTCGACGTCCTCGCGGCGATGCGCCGACGCAATCCCGACGTGAATCCGATTCGAATCCAATGTACATCCGACGCATTCCGACGTGAGCCCGACGTAAATCCGACGTGGATTTGACGTACATCGGGTCTCAAGTTGCCGCGCGAGGCCTCAAGAATTTTCCTCATACCTTGACTCGCAGGGGTTAGTGCCCACTTCGATGTGGCTGCCCTTTCGTGATCGAGGCTCCTGACACCGGGCTCTGCGATGGAAAGGGATGGTAAGGGGGGGTAGGACGTCGTTCATGGCGCCTGCATGCCTAGTTTGCCCTCCCCTTTCTCCCTGCCCCCTTCCCAAGCCGCGGGCAGGTGGTGGACAAGTCTTTGAACATTATGTCGGCGGCGAACCTGGGGGGGAAGTCAGACGGAGAGGGCCTTCTCAGAAGGCGGCGGGACTTCTCAGAAGCCTTTGCGCCTTCTGAGAAGTTATCCGTGTCTTCGGGGGAGGCTCAGAAAACTTCTCAGCAGGCCAGGGGACTTCCGAGCCTTCTGAGAAGCCCCCCCTTCTCACTTTCCCCCCTCGCTCGCCGCCGATTGACATTATGGACCTGTCGGGTCTTGGATTCAGCCTTGCCACCCACACCACCGCGCGCCGCGTGGTCAAGGATGTCGTGGGCACGCTGCAGAACCACTACCCAGAATGTAGCGGACGAGTCGTCATCATCAACGCCCCCAAGGTATTCAGTCTTGCCTGGTCCTTCGTGAAGCCGATACTCGACGAAAAGACTGCCAAGAAGGTGTCCATATACGGCTGCGACGGTGCCTGGCGCAGGACCCTGCGGGAGCTGGTGGAGCCCGACCAGCTGCCAAGCTTCCTGGGCGGATCGTGCGTCTGCGACGGCAAGGACCCGCGGTCGTGCATGCGCTGCAGCAGGGGCCCTTGGACCGACCGCGAGATCCTCGACATTCTCGAGACCGAGCCGATCGACCGCATCATGACGCCAGAGTTAAGTCGGGCTTGTCCCTCCACAGGAAGAATACTCAAACATATTAAGAAATAGTCCGGAGACGATTTTGCGAGTCTTTGGGGAATATTTGTGGAGCATTTTTGGAGTATTTTTGTTTGCCGAAGCATCCGCCTGTAGGGGGACACGCCCGACCTGACGCCAGAGGGCTGCCGAGTGCTGCAGGAGAGGCGCCGAGAGCGCGTGGCGGCCGCCGGCGCCGCGGGCGGGCCCTCCGCCGCGCCTGCCCCCTCCGAAGCGCTGGTGCCCACGCTGGCAGCCCAGCCTGCAGCGCCCAGCCCAGACCTCGGGCGTCTCGGGTGGGGTTCACTTCGCTCGGGAGCTCCCTAACGAAGTGAACCCCACCCTCCCCCTCAGAAATCGTGGGGGGTAGGGATAGGGTTCGCATGTGGTCCCCTAACGGAGGTTTTTCGCAGTTTTTGGTTTGGCCTCTCGGGGCCCTCGCCGGGCCTCGGGACCGTCAACAAAACGGCTCGGGATGAACGGCCGGTCCCAGGGAAGTGGTCGGGAGGTCGGGGGCTCAGGTCTCGACAAAAACCGAGCCGTCGGATGTCTGGGACACCGGCCGCGGCAGGGGGCGAAGCGCTGGCACCGGCCGAAGCCCGGGCCACTCCAGCCGTGCCTCTGTCTGCCTCGGCCGCGGCGCCGCCGCAGCACGCGGAGGCGGCGGCTGGCGCCGCACGCAGCACGGCGCCGGTGTCTGCGCCCTCGGAGCAGCGCTGGGGGCCCGCTCGTCACGCCCCTCTGGGTGGCCTGGCTGCGCGACGGGGACGGCGCCGAGTGATGAGCGAGTTTTCCACCACGTAAGACGGGGGAGGAGAGGATGGGGAGGTCCTCCTCCTCCTCCTCCTCCTCCTCCTCCTCCTTCTCCTCCTCCTCCTCTTCTACCTACGGTAGTGATGGTGGAAAATCGGCCTATCACCGAGAGCTCCTGCAGAGGTAGCTTTGGGCCGAGAGCCGCTCGGAAGCTCACGGTGCGTGGCCTCCGAGGGTCCACGAGGTCTTGCCATCGACGCTCGGCCCGGGGCCGCCCTCTCTTGCTGGACGCTGCGCAACTACGCTGTCTTCTGCGCGCTCGGGCCAAACCTGCGGCCACACTAGTGATCGTTTTCTTATTCACTGTTTTGCCGATCGGCGCGGTCCCTCGCCCCCCCCCCTCTCCCCCCCATAGGAGCAGATCTTGGCCGTTTTTGGCGCATGAATTCGAGCAGGTGGAGTCCCTCCCCCATAGGGCGCACTGCTGCGAACAGTCGTATTGATCAGAGGTCCAGAGCCAGACCCCCCCCCTCCCCCCCTTCCGCCCAATGTCGAAACGCCGAATAAGAAAACGCTCACCTAGCATCGTGCGTGTGTGGGTCTGCTCCCCCCTGAGGCGGGAAACCCGTCTGCTGTGTCGTCTTCCTTGTTGGGTGCTGGAGAGCCGTCGGCACGGGGCGGGGGATGAGTAAACCGAATGACGTCCTGCTAGTTTGCATTCTTGGGCCGTGACTCGGCCCGCAGAAGGCCGCCGATCGGCGATGCCACCACCGCTTCCAGAATTTCAGCAGCTCTGGCAGAGATCTGCCAGCCACCGAAGGATGGATGATCCCCTTCCCTCATGGGGCGGGAGACAGACGACAGGAGCGGCGTGGCGTGTGGGTCCCCACGCCCTGACAGATTCCACTGTGGGGCCCCCCGGCGCCGACGCAATGGACCCTGGGCCGCCATGTGGGCCGCCCGCGCAAGCGCTGCCCCTGCGCGAAGCTGTGCCGGCCGACGCGTTGAGCAAGGCGTCCACTGCAGAGCCCACAGTGGCGCCGCCTCCCGCCGATGCCGTGGCGGCCGGACTGGCCAGGCCCGAGCCACCCGCGGAAGCCGCGGCCCCGCCCGCGCCAGAGTCGCCGGCCCCCGCCCCCGAGCTGCCCGCAGAGGCCCCAGCCCCGACCGCGTCGAAGTCGACAGGCCCCGCCGCTGAGGTGGCCTCCCTCGCCCGCGCTGCGGAAGCAGCGGTCCCCGCGCGGGGGGGGCAGCCCGCCGCGCCCCCGCAGGAGCTCGGGGCGCCGGCCGAGGCCGAGCTGCCGCCCGAGAGCAGCGCGGGCGATGGCGAGCCAGCTGTGGCAGAGGAGCACCGCCAGTCGGGGGCCTCCAGTGGGGCTGCCGGCGCGCCCTCCGAGGGCCTGGCAGCACTCCCCTCGGCGGATCCGAGGGCTGCGCAGGCTCGAGCAGAGGCGCTCGAGCAGGTCCGGGAGGCGGAGCTGGAGCTGGCAATGCTGGCAGAGGAGCTCGAGCAGCTGGACGGCATGCACATGGCCATGCTGACCCGCTGGGTGGAGGAGTCCACGGCTCTGGTCCACAGCATCGGCGGGCGTGTCGTCGACAAGGCGCAGAAGTACTACGACTGCGAGGCGCTCCTGCGACAGGCAACCCGCGCGCGCGACGAGGCGCAGGCCTCCAGGAGCGACGCGGAGGGTGAGCACGAGAGGGCGCGCGCCAACCTGCAGGCCGCCGAGTCCGCCCTGGAGGCCTTCCTGCTCGGAGAGGGGGACCTGAGCGACGAGCAGTGGGCGAGGCTGGCGCCGCTGACGCCCGAGGCGGAGCACGAGGTCCTCCGCGAGGCGGGCGCCCACGGCGCGAAGCTCGCGAGGATGCTGCGCGTGTCGAGCCTGAGCGACCGCGTGGCCCAGCTGCGCAGCGTCTTCCTTCGCGCGGAGGGGGCGCTGGACGCGGCCCAGCGCGAGGCGCGCCGGAGCTTCCTCCTCCTCCTCCTCCTCCTCCCTTCCTCCTCCTCCTCCTTCTCCTCCGCCTCCTCCTCCTCCTCCTCCTCCGCCTCCTCCGCCTCCTCCTCCTCCTCCTCCTCCTCCTCCTCCTCCCTTCCTCCGCCTCCTTCTCCTCCTCCTCCTCCTCTTCATCCTCCTCCCTTCCTCCTCTTCTTCCTCCTCCGCCTCCTCCTCCTCCTCCTCCTCCTCCGCCTCCTCCTCCTCCTCCGCCTCCTCCTCCTCCGCCTCCTCCTCCTCCTCCTCGCGCTGGGCGCGGCGCCAGCGCGAGGTGGACGAGGCGCGCCGGAGCTTCGAGGCCGAGGCGGCCCTGCACGCGCGCTGGGCGCGGAGCAGCAGCAGCAGCGTGGTCCTCGCCCGGCCGTTCTACCGGAGGCGGGAGGAGCAGGACCCTTTTCGGGGGGCCCCAAACGGGGTGGTGACCACATCGTGTGGTGAGACGGTGGGGATTCGGGGTCACCGCACGGTTTTGGGACTTAAGTCGTTCTCCGAGGATATCTCTGGCGACTGGAGCCTCCAGGGTCCCAAAACCGTGCGGTGACGGACCGTGCGGTGAGGTCTTGGCGGATTTCGAGGTCACCGCCGGGTCTGTCACCACACGGTGTTGGAACCTCCAACCTTTGGGCTCCCTCTCCTCGTCCTCGGCCTCCTCCTCGTTCTCCTCCTGCTCCTCCTCCGCCACTGCCTCCGTCTCCTGCGCTCGTGGAAGCCATGTTGGGGTTCTGGCCATGTTGTTGTTGTTGTTGTTGTTGTTGTTGTTGTTGTTGTTGTTGTTGTTGTTGTTGTTGTTGTTGTTGTTGTTGTTGTTGTTGTTGTTGTTGTTCTTGTTGAATTCTCATTTCTGAAGAATAATTATTGTTGATCCCCCCCCACCGGTGCATACAGTTTTTCTCAATCAAAGTGTGCCCCTCGACGCTCGCACCCTGTCTTCTGACAGGGAGAGTCTTCCTGCGCAAAGTGGGCCCCTGGCCCCCGGGTTACAACAACAACGGCTGCCGCCTGAGACTTCCTCACAATTTAGCCAGGACCCCCGCTCCCGCCCGAGACTTCCTCGCATTTTACTCAGGAATCGAGCTCTCGCTTGGGACTTCCTTACAACTTATTTTTTGGAATCGCTCTCCCGGCGCTCTGGAGTCGCGCGCAGGAGACTTGCTTGCAACTTACTGAAGAATAGCCTTGCGTTGGAATTTCCTGCAATTTGCCCAAGCGCCGCGCTCCCGACACCCAGGCACCCAGGAGTCGCGCCCGTTGTCGCCCCATGTGCATGCCCTTCGTGGCCCCGCTGTCGCCATTTGTGTCCCCCTCACTGTCCTACGTGGCCCAGTTGCTACCCTCAGTGGCCCCATAGTTGCCTTCTGTGGCCCCGCATTATCTGCACTTCGTGGTCCCCGCTCGTTCGCGCTCTTCGTGGCCCCATACGCATTCCCTTCGTGTCCCCGCTGTCGCCCTCCGTGGCCTACTTCGTGCCCTTCGTGGCCCTGCTGTCGTTCTCTCTCGCTCTCGCTTTCGCTAGTCGTCGCCGTCGTCGTCGTCGTCGTCGTCGCCGTCGTCTTCGACGTCGTCGTCGTCGTCGTCGTCGTCGTCGTCGCCGTGGTCGGTCCCCTGTCCGTCGCTGTTGGGGTCGGGTCGACGGTCCGCGGCCGCCCCGCCGATCAGCGCCGCCGCTGGCCATGCCGACGGTCCGCGGCCGCCCCGCGGCTTGCCGGGGCCCGGCCTTCGGGGAAGAAAGGTATACCCCCCGAAAGGGGTTCGATCGAAGACGAAGAGGGCGGGTATCGAGGGTTTTGGAAATACGCGTTATTGGACACTCGAGCATACAAGGGCGAACCGTCTTCAGATTATTATTATTATTATTCTTGTTGTTGTTGTTGTTGTTGTTGTTGTTGTTGTTGTTGTAATTGTTGATGTTGATGTTGTTGTTGTTGTTGTTGTTGTTGTTGTTGTTGTTGTTGTTGTTGTTGTTGTTGTTGTTGTTGTTGTTGTTGTTGTTGAACATTATTAATTCTAAAGAATAATTATTGTTGGGACCCCTGGTGCACGGCCCCCCTGCGCGCGCCTAGGCCGCAGCTACATTTTCATCATTTTCGTGAGGAAGCCTCAGGTAATACGATGTCATCAAGATCCGGTTGTTTTGTTGTAATCCGTTTTCCCTTGCAAAAAACACTATAAAATGACATTTCTTGTTCTAATATAATCAAATTTCAAGAATCCCTTGCAAAAAATAAGGTAAAGTGGACATTCGCGCGCGCAAGACGAAATCCTTCCAAAAGCTTAGTGTTCGGAGCGATTTTAACATAAAAACATAAAAAAACCAATGGTTTTTCAACAAAAAAATGTCAAAATCTCATCCCGCGCGCTCTTGCGGATTCGTAGGAAAACCAACACTTTTTAAACATTTCTGTCAAACGGGCTTTTGCGAGCAACTTTTTCGAACTTCTGCGACAACGGTTGCGCACCTGCCAGGGCCATCATCCCTGTCAAATAATACCATGCGGGACACATTCGTTTTTTCTTCGCGCGCGCACGCCGAAATCTCCAAAAACCATTGGGTTCTTAAGAATTTTAGCACCGCGCATCATAAAATCACACGAATCGCACCGTAGGTCCTCGAAAAACACCTGCACGACTTTTCAAAATTTCTACCCGCGCGCGCTGTCCTAACAACTTCTGTGGGTGTGTACTCCACGCCAGTGTAGTAGCCACGGTCGTCCGCAGGCCACGAAGTGAAGTGTCCGAACGTCATAGGGCGGGAAGCTGGGTGTGGGTGGTGGCGAAGAGTCGTGTGGATATTTGGTAGAGCTTGCACTGCCCCCCCACAAAGTGGGGGTATTGGCTGGCGTCGCATGAAAACCCTGGCACTGGTGAGAACACTGAGCGTTCGGGTAAAGTGATTGTTGTTGTTGTTGTTGTTGTTGTTGTTGTTGTTGTTGTTGTAGTTGTTGTTGTTGTTGTTGTTGTTGTTGTCGTTGTTGTCGTTGTTGTTATTGAACTCTCATTTCAGAAGAATAATTATTGTTGATCCCCCCACCGGTGCATATTGTTTTTTCTCGATCAAAGTGTGCCCCTCGACGCTCGCACCCTGTTCTTTATCAGGGAACGTCTGGAGGCTTAAACTGGGCCCCTGGCCCCTGGGTTACAACAACAACGGCTCCCGCCTGCGACTTCCTCACAACTTAGCCAGGACCCCCGCTCCCGCCCGAGACTTCCTCGCATTTTACTCAGGAATCGAGCTCTCGCTTGGGACTTCCTTACAACTTATTCACGAATCGCTCTCCCGGCGCTCTGGAGTCGCGCTCTCGCTGGAGATTTGCTTGCAATTTACTGAAGAATAGCGCCCTTGTTTTTTTTTTGGGGGGGGGGAATTTACTCAAGCGCCGCGCTCCCGACACCCAGGCACCCAGGAGTCGCGCTCACGCTTAGGACTCCCTCACAGATTACCTCGGAATCGGGATCTCGCTGCCCTTCGTGGCCCCGTTGCAGCCCTTCGTGGCCCCCTCGCTTTGTTTCGTGGCCCCGTTGCAGCCCCTCGTGGCCCCCCTCGCTGCCCTTCGTGGCCCCGTTGCGGCCCCTCGTGGCCTCCTCGCTGCCCTTCGTGGCCCCGTTGCAGCCCTTCGTGGCCCCCTCGCTTTGTTTCGTGGCCCCGTTGCGGCCCTTCGTGGACCGTCGCTGCCCTTCGTGGCCCCGTCGCAGCCCTTCGTGGCCCCGTTGCATCCCTTCGTGGCCCCCTCGCTGCCCTTCGTGGCCCCGTTGCATCCCTTCGTGGCCCCCTCGCTGCCCTTTGTGGCCCCATATATGTATGCCCTTCGTGGCCCCCGCTCGTTCGCGCCCGTGGTGGCCCCATCTGCATACCCTTCGTGGCCCCGCTGTCGCCCTTCGCGGCCCCCTCGCTGCCCTTCGTGGCCCCGTTGCTGCCCTCAGTGGCCCCGTCCTTGCCCTCCGCGGCCCAGTATACGTATGCCCTTCATTGCTCCCGCTCGTTCGCGCCCGTTGTGGCCCCATGTGCATGCCCTTCGTGGCCATGCTGTCGCCGTTCGTGGCCCCTTCACTGTCCTACGTGGCCCAGGTGCTACCCTCAGTGGCCCCATCGTTGCCTTCTGTGGCCCCGCATTATCTGCCCTTCGTGGCCCCCGCTCGTTCGCGCTCTTCGTGGCCCCATACGCATTCCCTTCGTGTCCCCGCTGTCGCCTTTCGTGGCCTACTTCGTGTCCTTGTGGCCCTGCTGTCGTTCTCTCTCGCTCTCGCTTTCTCTCGCCATCGTCTTCGCCGTCGTCGTCGTCGCCGTCGTCGTTGTCGACGTCGTCGTCGTCGGTCCCCTGTCCGTCCCTCTTGGGGTCGGGTCGACGGTCCGCGGCCGCCCCGCCGATCAGCGCCGCCGCTGGCCATGCCGACGGTCCGCGGCCGCCCCGCCGCTTGCCAGGGCCCGGCTTGCAGGGAAGAAAGGTATACCCCTCAAAAGGGATTCGATCGAAGACGAAGCAGGCGGGTATCGAGGGTTTGGGAAATACGCGTTATTGGATAGTCGAGCAGATAAGGGCGAACAGTCTTAATCTGATTGTTGTTGTTGTTGTTGCTGTTGCTGTTGCTGTTGCTGTTGCTGTTGTTGTTGTTGTTGTTGTTGTTGTTGTTGTTGTTGTTGTTGTGGTTGTTGTTGTGGTGAGCGGGGTTTTGCTCCTCATCATCCTGTGTTGAATCGGGTTCCCGTTTTGAATCCGCAGCTCCCCGCGTGTCCTTCCGTGCCGCTTCCCCATCGGCACACCCCTCACTCGTGTCGTGGCCCCATGGGGAGCTTCACCTTGCGCCTCCGTAGCAGTGCTCACATGTGGCCCCGCACGTGTTTCGGCGCACCCCTCAGGAGGCCCCAGTGGCAGTGCTCACGTACGGTCACGCAGCAATTTCGGCGCACCCCTCCCACAGAAGGCCCATAAAAAAATCCACTGTATGCTCCAGCGGCAATGTCCGCACATCGTCCCCTCACCCACTTCCTCAAGCCCCTCACGCGCTTCGTTGCCCCAAAGGGAGTTCCACCTCAGGCCCAAGTGCGTGCGTCCACATGCGGCTCGCACCCCACGTTTCTTGGCTCCAGAGGGGGATCCCCCCCTTTCGTCCCACCTGCCTTGCTGTACTCACACTTGCACATGATTGGTCGCCTGGATTCTGTATGTTCTGAATGATCTGTATGTGAACACTTTCGTTTAGAATGGAAAAGGATTGTCTTAATTATTTAACTGGCACTTGTAATCCTAGGGGTGTCGATAACGCGCGGTCGACAAACCACCAAACGCAGCGCAGTGTGATGCATACGCGAGCCAGATCACAGGTTTGCTGCGGTGCTTGCAGGCAGGCTGTGGTTCTGTGAAGCAGGCTACGGTACTATCAGGCCTGCTGTGGCGCACTACGCCTTGGTGCTCTGGTGTCTTCAACTTTTGCGCTTCTGCCTCCAGCGCTGCACATGCACTTGCCGCATGTCGTTCCAGCGCTCGGTCCTCGTAGCTCGTTTGGCGGGGCACACCAGTTCCCCGCATGTGTATCCATCGGGTGGCCTCCACATGCTCTGGATGTGACCTCACCGGTGTGTGTGTGTGTGTGTGTGTTTCTTGGCTTCTCTTCCCTCCCGCCCGCGCCTGGCCTCCCCCTCCTCCCCTTGTACATTGCCGCCTAGATCGCATCCGTACGCCCTACATATGCTCGTTCGGCCAGCGCAGTCACTCTGCCTAGCCGCCGACGCAAAAAGTGTGTGTGTGTGTGTGTGTTCCAGCTTCCTGGCCTCCCCCATCCCCTTTCTGCCGTATTTCCTCCACGATCCCCTCAACTCACGTCTGAAGCCTCTTTTTCAGCCCTCTCGGTTGTTTTTCCAGTCCACTCCTGAACTTTTTCTGCCCCCTGCCCCATCACTCTCGTCCACTTCCGTCTTGACCCATCTCTTTACCTTCCACTCAGCTTCGTCTTCAACCCTCCGCTCCACTCCAACTCGTCTTTACATCCCTGTTCCTAAACCCTCCTCCGCACTCCGTTGAGCCTTCCCGAAGACCTTTCTCTTTCCCATCTCTTCTCCTCACTCCCCACATCCCTCCTCGAAATCAAACGCAGTTTTTCCCGCGACGTGGCGGCGCCCCAGGATCCCAAACTTCCAATGTTGGCGCCGAAGCTTGCGACTGCGAACACAAGCGTCTGACCCCACGATCCACGCTTCGCGCGTCCATCCGCATTTTGCAAACTTGCGCTTGATTTCGAGGAGGGTCGTACCCCTCTCCGTTCAGCCCCTCCGTTGGGCCAGTGGCCTTCGGCGAGGGGCCTCGTGCTCTCCACAGGGAGCTGGCCACATAGTATGACTTGGCGGCCCCGGCGACAGCAGAGTCTATACACATTTTGCCGCGTGCCTTCGAGTAGCGGAGACCATGAACTACGCGAGCTTCCGCCTCCTTCCCCTCCCCCTCCTCCCCCTCCTCCTCCTCCTTCCCTCCTCCCCCCTCCTCCTCCTCCTCCTCCTCCTCCTCCTCCTCCTCCTCCTCCTCCTCCTCCCTCCTCCTCCTCCTCCTCCTCCTCCTCCCTCCTCCTCCCCCTCCTCCTCCTCCTCCTCCTCCCTCCTCCTCCTCCCTCCTCCTCCTCCTCCTCCTCCCCCTCCTCCTCACCCTCCTTCTCTCCCTCCCCCTCCTCCTCCTGCCGCG